GGTTGTGGCAGCCACTGATTAATAAAGGGACTAAGCCGAAACTAAAAGGAATGAATGAATTAATAATTCCTCATACCCTCCTTAAATTATGTTATAACTTCCTTACCCATGTTGTTCCAATCCCCTCCAAGAAACTGTTTGTGCGTCAAAAACTGTAAATAAAAAAGCTGTTCACCCATGTTTCCTCTTCCTCGTCAGGTCAGGATGTGCATATATGGGCAGTACGACTTTGGAAATTAGAGTCAGCAGCACAACATGGAAGAATTATATTTCGCATATTAAAGTCCACATGAACCGGAAGCTGTGACAGTTTTCCCCCCCCCCCCCGCATTGTGACGCAGTTCCTAGAAAACGGAATATTAAATGAGAAAACAGTAGTCGTGGCTTGTTTATTTCTATTGCGAGCTGATTGGATGTAAAGTAGGCATTTCATTCAAAAGATCAGGAATAGATCAGGAAAAGGGTTTTAGAGAGTGATTACAACCTAACAGACTCCTTCTGCTCACCATTTCTGTTTGTTGTCAAAACTGATAGTTGGAGGGACATGGTTGAGTATGTTAGCCACACCCAATAGCTCAGGCAGATGTAATCTGACAGTCTTAAACTTCTCCGAATTTTTGATGCTCGCCAGTGCTCATTGTCCTGCTCTTCTCTTAATTGGTGATTTGACCTTTCATGTTGACAATGTGGACTGTGTTTATAATGGATATCTTAGACTGTTTTAATTTCACACAGCATGTTCTTTTTCTGACACACAAACATGGTCACACACTGGACTTGCTTTGTTCTACAGGAGTGGCAATTGATTCACTCGTAGGAACAGAGGTATTGATCAGTGACCATAAGCTTCTCAAATTCAATCTGATCCTACCCTCCTCACAGATTGTTACTGAACGCACTATCCTATTTAGACAACTTGTAAAAATGAACTATGATCAACTTATAATTTTTTGTCTCATAATAAAGCTAATAAAATCAGTATGGTTAGTTTTGAATTTATTTATACTTTAAACACCCACCCTGATCTGATGCTTAAGGCATACAAGGAAACAAGCTGTTTTTAAGTGTTTTTGGGGTTGTGGGGCGGGCTAATGTTGATTTTAAATGCATCAGTTTGTTCTAAAGCTGTATTTCTGTTGTTAATGCAGGCCGGATGGTGAAACATACCAGTCTTTCAGGACACAGTTTCTGGCCTACTGCTTGTATCAAAGTAAAAAGCAAACTCTACATGCAAACACAACCTTGTAAAACATCTGTTGTGGTGAAAACAGCAGCACTGCAGTATTGAGAGATGTCGATGGTAAACGTCTCCTGTTGTCTTTTAGGCTTTGTGCAGTATCTTCAGTACTACTACCAGAGCGGTTGCCTCTACAGACTCAAAGCTTTAGGAGAAAGACACAACCTGGATTTGACTGTTGGTAAGTGTTACTGACTTTATGCTGTTTTTTGAATATCTGACAGTGGAAAGCACAGTAAATACTGTATGATACTGAAACGTTTTGTTTGCACAGAGGGATTTCAGTCGTGGATGTGGCGAGGACTGACTTTCCTTCTTCCGTTTCTCTTCCTTGGTCATGTAAGTGTTTGGAGGGCCTAAGAATTTAATTGTGCCACACCAGCCAAGAAGACGGGGACATGGGAAAATTGATTAGCCATAAAGATTTTTTACAGCCCATGAAGATGTACAGTTGTCAGAATAATTAGCCCCTTTTAATTTTTTTCTCTTTTTTAAATATTTCCCAAATAATGTTTAACAATCATAGAGATTTTCACAGTATGTCTGATAATATTTTTTCTTCTGGAGAAAGTCTAATTTTATTTTTATTTTGGCTAGAATTAAAGGCAGTTTTTAATTTTTGAAATGCTATTTCAAATTAAAAATTATTAGCCCCTTTAAGCTATATTATTTTTCGGCTGTCTACAGAACAAACGATCATTAACTTGCCTAATTATCCTATCCTGTCTATTTAACCTAACTAACCTAGTTAAGCCTTTAAATGTCACTTTGAGCTGTATAGAAGTGTCCTGAAAAATATCTAGTCAAATATTATTTACTGTTATCATGACAAACATAAAATAAATCAGTTATTAGAGATGAGTTATTAAAACTATTATGATTATAAATGTGTTTAAAAAAATCTTCTCTTCGTTAAAAAGAAATTGGGGGAAAAAATAAACATGGGACTGATAATTCAGGGGGGCTAATAATTCTGACTTCAATCGTTTGTGTATTATTGTATTTAAAATAGCCAAAGAAAATGGTAAATTGGAATGATGAAAAGTTATTTGTACAGTAATATTAATATGTACAGTTTATTAACATAATTATTAGCACTACTGTGAAATGTTTTAACACAGCATGGAGATTTTCACAGTATTTACCACACTGTAAAACCCAAAAAGTGAAGGTAACTTAAACCATTTGAGGAAACCAATCGCAACAACCCATTTAAGTTGAAAAACTAATCTATATAAGTACTGTGAACTAACGCCATTTAAGTTGGGGTATTAAATTAACTCAGTACCTTTTACACTGAGTTCAAAACTCTTTTCAAGTGAGTAAAATTAATTTTCAGTCAGTTTTGAGGTAACTATATTTCATTTGATAAAGTTGACAGTTGGGTTTTAAATTTCAGATGAAGTTTCTTTAGTTTGACTGAAGAATATGCATTAAAAGTTATATTATTATCTCCTATATGGCTACAGAACAAACCATTGTTGTCACATGACTTACCTAACTAACCTAATTTTCCAAAATAAAGACAAAATAAACAAGCTTTTTAAATTAGTTATTAAAACCATTAAGTTTTAAAATGTGTCAAATCTTCTCTAGTAATTATCACATGGGAAATATTTGAGAATATTATTTATAATAGTGATTTATTTCAATGTACAGCAGTAAAATTAAGAAATAACACAAATACTAAAGTAATTAATAATAATAATAATAGTAATAATAATAATAATAATAATAATAATAATAATACCAAATGCAACTAATACAATAATAATCATCATCATCATAACTGATTTATTTTATCTTTGCCATGATGAAAGTAAATAATATTTGACTAGATATTTTCTCCAGAAGAAAAAATATTATCAGATATACTTTGAAAATGTCCTTGCTCTGTTAAACATAATTTGGGAAATATTTTAAAAAGAAAAAAAAAATCAAAAAAGGGGTTTATTAATTCTGACTTCACCTGTATATGTTGTGTTGTTGACAGTTTTGGCAGTTCTGCAACGGCTTTTCCCTCTTCAGACTGGCCCGGCTCCCTGAATGTAGAGAATGGCAGGTCAGTGTTGCTGTGAACTAACATCATTACACTGAAGTGATCATATAACACCGTGAATAAATCTGTTAATACTGTGATGAATGTATTGTGTCTAAATGTATTTTTCCTGCAGGTGTCCATGTGTGGCTTCTGCTTTATGGTTCTGTTTGCTGGAAACTTTTTCACTACACTTGCAGTCGTCCAACACAAGCGCAAAACCCAAAGAACCAAGAGCCTGTGAAACTGTCAGTGAGGACAACAGACTATGCCATGATTCATTTGATGAAATCTAACTTTGTAATATGTGTTTTATTATGTTTTTTAAATATGCAGAATATGCCTTTTTGATTATTATTATTATTATTATTATTATTAAAGATCTGTAATAATACTTGTCTGTAATTAGTTGGAATTTCTAAAATCATTGATTAAACACATAATAAAAGTGAATAATGATAGTAAAAATTGTTATGCATTGTTGTTTTAGTATATCCTTGAGATAGGCATGCTGTTTCATTAGTAGTTAAATTTTGTGTTTTCATTAACAATTTAATTTAAATTTTAGCATTTTATCTGTGTTTGTTGTTATCTCACCAAATATTAATTTCTTAAATCTTCTGAAGTTAAACCATAGCATTTTTGTCTGAAAATAAATATATACATGTTTGGAAATGCCACATTTTTGTTATTTTGTTAAATTTTTATTTATTTATTTTTTTGGTGGAATTATAAGTAAGTCAACATAACTTTAACATATTAAATCTAGAAAAAATGTATCTAAAATAACACATTGGTAGCTTTAAGCTTAAAGTTTTAGTTAACAGCCCATGCCATTCACAACAACAACAACAATAATTTGTATTGCCTATTTGATAATTTAAACTAATAAATTATTCTTATTTTTTTATTATGCAAGAAAGAAAATTACAAAGATACAATATGAACAAAGAGACAAAAAGGGTTACATAAATAAAATTCCAGCAAATTAAACAAGTTTAAATTATTTACACTAAGTTTTACATGCAATATAATTAATAGTCTTTTAAAAAGTTCACATACAAATTAAAGTCCTTTCTGAAAATATAAAAAGAGTATTTCTTTGATTATCTACATTTATGGATGTAAAATCTAGCCAAAAAAGCAATAAATTAATAACAAATTTACAATGAGTTGGATCAGAGAGCAACCAAATAATGCAATTTTAGGGAAAAGTCAACGCAAAATACTTTGCAGTAAGTGCACTCCCAAAATAAATGATTTAGTGTTTCATCATATTGATTACAAATGAGCACTTAGGGGAAATATTGTTATTAAATTTACCTAATTTGGTATTTATTGGGTAGCAATTATGAATGATTTTAATTGAGAGTTTTTATTGAGACAGTTTATTAGATAAAAATATATTTTTTTCCGAAGAAGCCAAACCTGATCTCAATATATGTCACCAAATATATTATTCTGAAAACCTATGCAAGCAGGTAAAACGATCAGAGAACTATTAATAACCACGCGAGTATCTTTGTTTGACGCAGAACTGAGAGGAGTTCTAAAGGTTTGTGTTGTCAAAAATAAACGAATCTAAAGAACCTTTGGGGCCATGTTTGACTAAAGGTACAACCTTCTCGCCTTCTTCGCACCGACATTAATTATTTTTATGAATAAGAATTCAAGCAGAGAACACTCGAAGACTCACGTGGAGCTTAATGACCTGAGATGACCTAATTTCCCAGAATTCCTGTCATAACAATATGGCGGCGTCCTGCGACATGCAGCCGTAAAGTTAGCCCGTTATTTATATCTGAGACGTATGAAGTTAAATCTTTGTCTGGTTATTGTAAAACATTTATTTACTAGACTGTGTTGATGGAGAGAGTACATGAGATGCTGTTTTTATCGGTGTTGTCGGGTTTGGTGTGTTCTGCAGTCGGCGCTGAGATGTCAGGTAACGTTAGGTTTTTATTTTGCTAAGCGTGGCTGATAACAGCATACAATATATTACATTAAATAACTTATCATAGCAGACAGCGTTGTTATGCTCAAAATTGTGTCCACGAGCACATTTTGCTGCATTATAATAATCCTGCGGTCGGGCTCTGTCTCAAAATCTAACTTACTTGGCTCCCTACCTAGACTGCATTTTTGGACAACACACGCACATTCCGAGTTTCAGGTTTTACGAAAACGCGGCAATAATGATTGACACGCCGGTTTTATATTCGTACATTCCAGTAACAACTTGTGACACGCTCACTATATTAGTTGCTATGGTACGTTACTTTAAATATTCGTTCAGAAATAGCATGAAGTATAACTTCAAAACAACATTTGCACTATTTATTTGACTGTGAACATGTTGTAGCCTACGCTGATAGTCATAATATGATTTTACTGTGTCGAATTTGCCAAGAATACTTCTGTGAAATAATAAGTCAGAGATAATGAGGTTGGTTTTATATTCGCACATTCGTTTAGTGACAACTTGTCACACGCTTATATGTTGTTTACCATGATACTTTGAATATTCGATCGCAAATCATATGTAAATATGACTTCAAAACAACATTAGCGCTATTTATTTGAGTGTGAACAATGTTGAAGCCTACGCTGATAGTCATTGGCTGCTAATATGATTTTACTGTGTCGAATTTGCCAAGAATACTTCTGTGAAATAATAAGTCAGAGCATGTGAATATAAAACCAACTTTACCTTTATATTTATAAGAGTCCTGCAGCCGAACTCTCTTTAAAACATTCTAAGCAATCTACCTAAACTGCAGTCTTGGACAACAAACGCACCATGTTTCAGGTTTTACAAAAATGCCAGATAGGTTTGAGACAGCAATTCCTCATTATCGAGTGTCTTTTCCATCAATAATTATTGTCAGGTATTGTTTATTTACATCTCTTAGCCTACAGGTAAATGTTGTGAGCTCTTTGTAAACTGTTTACTATGTATTCACAGGTGTTTTGAACGATGTGAGGGATTACACTGAGGGTTACCTGCAGGTTCTGTGGCAGAACAGGTTATATGTGTACTCGACTGCTGCTGTTCTCATTGGAGTCTGGTTTACTGTGAACATGCTTTTCAAAAAGGTAACATTAAGTGGGAATAAGGTTACAAGTCCAGAGGTTACATTGGGGACTTATCATGTAAACTGACGTAACATGTATGTGCAAGAAACGGAAAATTATTTTCAGCATTGTTAATGTTAGCCTCTGAAACAGTCATGACACTGCACAAGCTTCCTGTTACTGACACGTGTTGCCACATGAGCAGACACTTTGTTTACAACTGTTTATAGTTTCATCATCCAGCACTAGCACTATTTTGATCAATAATACAGTATTGTGCTTTACGGTATTGTGATTACTGAACTAAAATCTATTCTTTTTTAAATGCCTGGGTAAAAAAACCAAAACCTTTTTTTCTCCTTTGAACACATATTTCATTTTAAGAGACATTTAAAATATTTTGAAACAGTAAACATGTCAGTCTAATTAAAGGTGCAGTAGGTGATCTGCCCAGATGCTTATCCAGTGTTTCTTCTCGGATTTTTTTTACACAAATCAACCAATTACCTATTGGTTGTTATTTGATTGACGAATGTTGTGAGCGCTGTATTACAACTCAGGATCACATTTATGTAATAAGAGCATGCATCTTTTTGCTTGCATGCCGATTTTCTCTGTTCACAGAGAAAACAAAACTTGTTTTTTCTTGCACAAAACTTCTTGCTCAAATATACGCTGCTCAAGTGCAGATCTTCTTGTGCGCTCTCAAATAAATGCTGCTGAAGTGCGATTTAGTGTGTTTATGTAATGAGTATGTCTCCAATATTTATTAGATTTGCTAGGAATATTTATGAATTTCTCCAGTAGACCCGTGGCATTAATGCACCCTGAAGTAAAGTGAAATGACCGTAAACTCCAGCAAAATAAAGCGTTGTATGCAGAGTTATTAACCTTTATCTATAAACCCTGCTTCATGCGCTCGTCAAACCCTGCTTCATGCGCGTGTCAAACCCTGCTTCATGCGCGCGTCAAACCCTGCTTCATGCGCTCTTCAAACCCTGCTTCATGCGCGCGTCAAACCCTGCTTCATGCGCTCGTCAAACCCTGCTTCATGCGCGCGTCAAACCCTGCTTCATGCGCGCGTCAAACCCTGCTTCATGCGCTCGTCAAACCCTGCTTCATGCGCGTCAAACCCTGCTTCATGCGCGCGTCAAACCCTGCTTCATGCGCGCGTCAAACCCTGCTTCATGCGCGCGTCAAACCCTGCTTCATGCGCTCGTCAAACCCTGCTTCATGCGCGCGTCAAACCCTGCTTCATGCGCGCGTCAAACCCTGCTTCATGCGCTCGTCAAACCCTGCTTCATGCGCGCCTCAAACCCTCCATCATGCGCGCCTCAAACCCTCCATCATGCGCGCGTCAAACGCTGCTTCATTCGCGCGTCAAACCCTGCTTCATGCGCGCGTCAAACCCTGCTTCATGCGCGCGTCAAACCCTGCTTCATGCGCGCGTCAAACCCTGCTTCATGCGCGCGTCAAACCCTGCTTCATGCGCTCGTCAAACCCTGCTTCATGCGCGTGTCAAACCCTGCTTCATGCGCGCGTCAAACCCTGCTTCATGCGCTCGTCAAACCCTGCTTCATGCGCGCGTCAAACCCTGCTTCATGCGCGCGTCAAACCCTGCTTCATGCGCTCGTCAAACCCTGCTTCATGCGCTCGTCAAACCCTGCTTCATGCGCTCGTCAAACCCTGCTTCATGCGCGCCTCAAACCCTCCATCATGCGCGCGTAAAACCCTGCTTCATGCGCGCGTCAAACCCTGCTTCATGCGCGCGTCAAACCCTGCATCATTCACGTGTCAAATTCACTTCAGAATAGACGTCGATTCATGTGATGGGCAGGGCTTCTGTCTGCCCGGTGACTCTAGCTTCGTTGCTAAATGGCTAACATGGATATTATTAAGAAAATAACAGTGTTTATGTGCTTTATGAAGGCTGAAAAACAGCGTAGATAAGTTTAAGGCGATGTCTCATAAACTCCTCCAGAAACTTAACCTGGATGATGGAGGCTTTCAGCGGTGTTTCTAACTGACTTCTTATTTGCATCAATCATGCCGCAGGATGTCTATTCGCGCGTTTGCATTGACTTAACATGTAAATCACTGGCTCTTGACACTTCATCCGCGACTGGTGTGAACACAGCATAAGTCTTTAAATGTATCTTCTCTGTGATGTCGTAAACACCATATTGCTTTTCAGTTTCTCTTATCTGGTTTGATGTTTTGAGCATGCTATTTTTCCCCGTAACCTTGTAACAACCAGTACAGTGAATTGACGGCAACATCAAATTCGACTTCAACTGATAATCGTTTTGGATAATCGTGATTACAGTTATGACCAAAATAACTGTGATTGTGATTTTTCCCGTAATCAAGCAGCCCTACTTGGAAGCAGACATTTACACAGGAACAACACAACAAAAAGAATTAACTGATGTTTTGCTCAATTTGCCGTCAGTTTAGCAAGTCAGCCACCTTTTGGTAAATAATTTCAAACTACAATAAAATACTGTTAAATTTCCTTGTTCTGTTAAACATCATTTGGGAAATATTTAAAAAATGAAAAAAAAAAAAAAAAAAGATTCAAAGGGGGGCTAATAATTCTGACTTCAACTGTATGTGCTATACATGTAGGGGATGTTGCATGTAGTACCATGATAAACAATATAGGGAGTGCATCACAGGTTGTTATTGTTCAAAAACTAAATAATGTGAATATAAAACCACCTTTACCTCTGTAAAGCAGGCTAGGAGGAATACCACTATTTACTTCTGTTTTGTTGTTAGACTAAACAAAAATTTACATTATCGATGCTGTAAAATGTCCCTTATGAAACTGAAATTAGTCTCATCAAGCTTTCGCCGGAAGGTTTCAGTGGCTGAACAACACTTCTGTACATATAACCCATTCATAACAACACAATCTACATCAGCTTTTCATGACTGAAAATAGTTTTATTACAGAACATTACTTGTCTCAAATAAATACTTTAGCCGTGGTGTCAACCTTCCTCCAGCATGCAAAAGTAACTCCAACATTAATTTAGGATTTAAAAAAGTTTTGATTTAGCATTTGTTTTTACCACTGTCACTCTCTAATGTGCACATGAACGCAGCGCGTGTGCACACGAAAATGCCACATCTGTCTGCGTGAACGGGTGTGCAGATGTACAAATCTACATTTGTTGACAGACAGTTTGAGCTACTTATCAGAATTATCTGCCTGACAAAATTTCATTGGATGAACAATTTTTAGTCTTATGTCTCACACAGAATATAAAAATACATATAAGCACATTTAGATAATTTACTTTAATCATTACTATTGGACTGTGAAGAGATTTCAACCAGCACAACAAAAATGTTTCTGAAGACAATCGCCTTCTGCACCTTAAAATAATTGACTTTTGCAGTTTTATTAGTAGGGGTGTCAAAATTAATTGTTTTTTCGGTGCACCGCGATGCAGACGCGGACAATTCGGTATCGGTTCAGTAATAATCATAGCCGGTTATTATGTACTGACGTCATTTATCTCCTATGCGCTTTGTCGCGAGGGGGGTGAACGCCAGTATTACACCATATTCTGTGACCATCGAAATCTGTGGTCACAGATTTCAATGGTCACAGAATATGGTGTAACACCTGCCCGTGGCATAGGCAATATAGGAAAATGCTAAGGGCGCTGTACATCCAGGAGGGCACCAGAAATGAGCGCGGTTAAGTTGGTTTTGTTTTCGATATTCCTGACACATTCAGTTATAGCGGCAATAACTCAAAAACCTCTACCCTAAAAAGATCTAAAGTGTGTTTCCTACAAAAAGACAAAGCTGGTTATGTTTCACAGCCGTCTTTTTATTTATTTTTTCGCTCGACATTACGACCACTGCCCCTTTTAAGCCCTCGCAATATGTGTTTTGTTTTGCGAAGTTTTCTTCGTTTTTTTTTTTTTTGTTCCGCTCTGCTCATCGCTTAAGTGTGTGTGTGTTGGTGTGTGTGTGTATGTTTGGTGCTGTCTATGTTTGTGTATGTGTGTGAATGAGAGACAGTGTGGTGCTGTGTCTGTGTGCTTATACAGACAGCATGTTATAGCCTCCCCCCAATATATAACACTGTATATGAAAAGCATCGTCAATGCACAGAGATATCGAATTGAACCGAATCGATAGCATGATAATCGTAACCGAACTGAACCGTGAGACCAGTATAGGTTCACACCTCTACTTATTAGTTTCACAAACACAGTTTTCTTTACAATTGAACACACCATCTTTTGATATCTTTTCTGCTGGAGATATAGCTGTCCTCAAAAACAAACAAACAAACAAACAAACAAACAAACAAACATAAAGTATTCTACATATACCATAGGAACAGTATAGCAGAAAATTTTGGCCGCCTTAAAACCTTGACTTTTCAACTTGCATGTGTTTTTATGACACTGTATATGTCTCACTCCAGACACCACAGCCTCTGTAAATGTAATAATATTTATTGCACAATTGCAGTATTTCTTATTTGATTTGCTTTTGACTCTCGCTGTGCTAATAGCAGTTGACTTGCATTGAATGAATCACAAAGAACCACAATTTTGTAAAATATTTTGTTTTATGTTCTACTGAAGAAAAAAAGTCACCTGTTTTAGGTTGAACTAATGTATTGGTTAGATTTTGCCTTTTAGTTGAAGGTAAATTCTCTAATTGATAGTATTTTTCTTTAATAGAAAAAAATGGTCCATCCTGTAAGTCCTCCGGCAAGTAAATCTGTGAAGAAGCAGGAACCAGCTTCTGGAGCTAAAAAAGTCATCCATGTTTCTGGGGTCAAAGTCTTTTATGGATCACAGACAGGAACAGCAAAGGTTTGAATACACAAACACACAATGGGATTTAGTGTTTTATGAGGACTCTACATTTACATGATTTTACTGTGCAGTAGAGCTGCACAATATATTGTTTCAGAATCCACGTACAGTTTGATAAGAGTGCTTGGACCCTAAAGCCGCTTCATATGATGTCACATTTAACAAGCGGATTGTTGATTAATTACAAAGGTTGACTATTCTGGAATTACAGTTTTTTTTTTCTGTTAAACATATCAAACATATGTGAGTTTAAAGCATTATGGCACAAGAAACAATAACTTTTGTAGCTTTGACAAAGGTGAATTACATTTTATAAATATAGTGACACTTCGAAGTGTCATTTACATTTGATTTTTCAATATTTCTGTCCGACTGCTGTAAAACTTAACAGAAAAACATAAAGCAACATTTTTTCTCATTTGTATCTTTCTCTTTTTTATCTAGCTAGTTAAATGTATTTATTTTATAATAATTTGTGCAGATGCATTCCACTACAAAATCAGCCCAACCATTCTGAAATAATAAGTTCTTCACAAATAGTTCATAATTCATCTTGTTAAATATTTCATATCACCATATATATGGTAATGTTGCCATTAACTGATTTTATTTTCTCCAATATCATGCTTCCCTACTGTGCAGACTACATTTTGTCCCCTAGCACAACAGCAACCCTAAACAAAATTTTTAGTAAACAAACGTTTAAGTAACTTTTGGGAAAATATTTTCCATTGCCATTTAGCAAAAGGCATGCTTATCTAAACACTTTAAAAGAAAGAAGTATTTAAACAGGACACATTTTGATAATTAAATATGTTTTTCAAAACCCTGTTTTGTCTTTGACCCTTGTAAATTTTTAACATTTTTGATTTTAGGGGTTTGCAAAAGAACTTGCTGAAGACGTTATTGCTCAGGGGATCCAGTGTGAGGTTATTGATATGAAAGATTTTGACCCGGAAGACAGATTGGCAGAGGAGGTGAGTAAATGTGTTCAATTGTGCTATTTCTGTGCTTAAAATGTGCTTTGGGCTTCATTACTGCATTTCAGAGATGGTGACTGCATTTTTCCTTATACGTTTTGTGCTGCAGTAGCTTAGGCATAGGAATGGATTAATTGAACTTCAGGTTGTGTCATGCTTAAAAATATCTGATAAGGAGTTAAGAAATTATAAGAATTATGAGCACTTTCAAATCTTTTAATTACCAATTAACAGTTACAGGAATTATAGATCTTTTGGCTGGCAGTTAATCATAAGGATTCTGTACAATGTATTACAGAGTAAAGTAATAGAATTTTTCACCTTCGGACATTTTTTTAATGCCACATTTGCCTGAAAAAGACAGAATACAGTAACTACACTGACACTCAGTTCTAAAAACACTAAAAACACTCTTCCCTGACATGTGGATTGTCAATTTGATAACATTTTTACTTTTTTTCAATCAAATAATCTTAAAGAAAATCAATTCTAACCAAATTGGTATGCTCCAATGACTTCACACCTTCCTCAATTTTCACAGGTCGTCTAGCAAGCTTGTTGTGTCCTCTACTTTAAATGCCAATAGGCTCCATATTTCTGACCGTTATCACCTTTTTTTCAATATTGCAAGCTGATATTTGAGTCTATATTACCTTGACATAGTACAAAAAAAAAACAAAAAACACTTTAGACATTTTACTCAAATGTTGAGTTATATGTTAAGTACTGATATACTATTATAACTTTTACAGATATGTAGAATGTGTTTTTATTCTTATTATATTTAGTTTTTACATTTTTAAGTTTAATTTTTTAACTTCCCCTTTATTTTGTAAGTTTTGAATACATTATATATTTTTAAATATCTCAGTATAATTTCAATTATATCCAGCTGAAATATGGAAAATACCTTGTAGACACTAGCAGGTATAAGATTCTGATGGTATGACAACCTTGGAGAGAAATCACACGGTTTCATTTGTTCTTTTTAAGTGTCCGGATAAAAAACAACTTTCCCCCCCAGTGAACACTGTATATTTTCTTTTAAGAAACATTAAAAATATATTGGAAAAGTAAACATGTCAGTCTAATTAAATCATTGACTTATGTCTTCGTTAGTTTCAAGAACACAGCTTTCTTTACAACTAGAAAAGACATCTTAAGATATGCAGTAAGCCACTGTACAGTTCAGGTCCAAAGTATTGCTTGGATGTTGGTGCATAGGTGATCAGTAGTTTTTGATGTGGAGGGTCTGCTGGAGATGCTGTTGCCCTAAAAAACTAAATAAAGTTGTCGTAAAACACGTAAAAAAACCTTACATATACAGTAGGTATGGTATAACAGAAAATATTTTAAAACCTTGACTTTTCCAAACCACGATAAACCTCGACTTTGGTGATCGACCCATGCCTAATGCCTTGTCATCTGGCTGAAGTAAAATACATTTTTATGTTTTATTTCAATTTAAGTTACTTATTTCACGTTTTTTTTGCAAACTGTAGTAATAGCCCACTTTATATACCATTTGCTGTGTTTTAAACATCAACAACTGATTGGATTCATCACAAAATCTGTCAGGATAAGTCATGGATTTAAATCATAACTTGTTTTAAGTTTATTCTAAAATTATTTATTTTATAAGATTTAAAATAACTAAAATATATATTCTGTATTCAGCCCATTTCAAAAATATAAAAGACATGATTATAACTGTAATCACATACCAAAAAAGTGCTGCTTTATTAACTTTATTGACTGTTCTAAAGCATAAAAATACCATACAATATTTGCAGATATTTAGTAAACATGCTAAGTGAACATTCTTGTTTATCTGAAAAACAATGCAAAAGTCAGATATTCTGCTTTGAAAATGTGAGTTACTGTCTTTGTTTTTGTTCTTTTTACCTGCCCAATGCCACTTTAGTCAATTATATTTCAGCACCCTGGGTTGCCTTGGTGGAAAACCACGTATTTCATTAATTCAGACAGAAAGGCTTTCCAAGCATGTGCCGTCACCGAAATACTGCCTCTAGTGTAAAGTAGAAGCATTGGATATTAAAGGCAGATTTAGAGTTCCACAAGAGGCTATTAATTAGCAAAAAATATAAATATTACATCTGTAAACATTAAGTGAGGAGGTTACATTGTAACCCAGTGTCCTAACAACAGGCTACGTGACGAGATTTGTCCTGATAAGCAATTTGCCTGTTTGCACCAAATGAAACACAACAGAAACTAAAGTACAGCTGTTCAGAAGCACAGAATATGCACTGGTAGGGTTTATACTCTGATTAATACATATTAAACCTTTAACATGATTAAACTTTAACATTATTAAATGAACATGCTGAATCATTGTGTTGTTTGAGTCACAGTTCTAAAGATTTTATTTTCAAGATCTGAGGTAAACCATGCTGCTGTTGCTTTCAGTAGTGTGGCAATAAACGTCATGTAAAATGGCATTCAACCTCACATTATTAACATTTAACACCAAATAAAGCACATGAAGTGTACCTGAGGTAATCATTGTCAGTTTTCTGTTGTTCAGGTACAAGAAATAGAAGCAATTTCTAATCAATTTGAGGTGTTGGTTAGGACAAAAACTCCTCTTAAAAGAAAGAATATTCCTTCTATTGTGTGTCGTTGCTTTCATATAGAACACAGTAGGGCTCAATAGTCAGATTCGCTTCTGTTTGTCCTCAATCTGGCAACCTGCGCTTGCGTTTGTTTTGATCCAGGAGTGCAATACCTAGTTCGACCACTGGATGTCAAACTTGCATACTACACCATTAATATATATAAATAAAATCTACAATCACAAAAACAGTCTGATTGCTTAATGCCGAGTTCAGACTGCATGATTTTCAAAGTAGTCGTGTCACAGATGTTTTCACACTGCATGACTATCTGGGCTAGCGTTTCATCGCTGCTTTGTTTACACTGCAAGATGAATCCGCGACAGGGACTTTCACATTGCATGACTTTACTATTGGAAAAATCGCAGAAAACTTAGTCCAAACTACTTCTCACAGCCAAAAACACGTAGTATATCTTTTGTTATTAACTACATAAGACTTTAATGGGGTAGAAAATGTACATATTTGCTCACCTGGGTTTAAAGGGAATAAGACATTTCTCCTCATAGTTGATAATCTAATTTCTTTCTGTATGAAATGTCAAACAGACACGATTGCTCCTAAGTCCTGTCAATCCTCCACTAGTTTTTCCTCCATTTCATGGGTCCAAATAAACCGAAAAAGAGCGCTTTTAACTTCTCCCCCAGCCTCCCGCTGGCCTGCAGCTAGTATACACACACGCACACACAAGTGAATGCAGCTCTCTCAATGGCTGTAGGTGATCGCCGATGTTATTTTCAGTCAAAACTCATTTCACACGGCATGATTTGAATCGCTGACAGCTCCAGATATTTAGCATGCCAAATATCTCACAGGCATCGGCGACTCTCAGATCGCGTCTTTGATAGTTCATACTGTGTGATTGTCACTCACGTGCATGAGCACCGATTTGCCTGTGATTTCAGGCATTTGTCGGCGATTTCTCAAAACCTGTCGGCGAGCCAAAATCGGGGCTAAAATTACGCAGTCTGAACTAGGCATAAGAGTTTCTTAAACTTTTTTTGTGGAAATAAGACCTGACAATTTTTTGCAGGGTTAACTCTCGTTTGAGCGCTGCTACCATGATATTAAAAATTTTTTCATCGTCTCATATTTTCCTTCTCTAGTGCACAAGCAAGATAATCTGTGTGTTTCTGGTGGCCACATACACTGATGGACAGCCCACCGAGAGCGCTGAATGGTTCTGCAAATGGCTCCAGGAAGCATCCACTGACTTCCGATATGGGAAAACCTACCTGAAGGGAATGAGATATGCTGTTTTTGGTCTTGGAAACTCGGTTTATGTCGGCCATTACAACACAGTGAGACTTATTATTATTATTATTTTTTTATTCTATTCAATTGCATGAGTTGCCCGTTAAATCACTTCTGTATTCAGGTCAGTAAGAGCATAGATAAGTGGCTGTGGATGCTGAGCGCCGCTCGGATCATGACCAGAGGAGAAGGCGACTGTAATGTGGTGAAGAGCCGTCATGGCAGCGTGCAGGCTGACTTCCAGGCCTGGAAAGGGAAATTCTTGAACCGACTGCAGGCCCTGGCCAAGGGTGAGAAGAAAGCCTGCTCTGGAAACTGCAAGAAGGCCAGCTGCAAGAATAAGAAGAAACATAAGGAGGAGGCAGAGGACAATCACTCGCTCGCTGAGAAGAACAACTCTGAGGCAAGACAGTCCTGCTCTCTGATGTCTTTTGAAACACATGTAGTCATGGAAACAGTTTTAGCACTGCACACCTAAAGTGCAGCTCGTTCCCCTGCAGTCTGTGGTGCACTCATGTCAATGGGATCTGAACAGCAGGAGTGACATTACAGACTTTAGAGGATGTTTTATTCTCTTAGATGTTCTGCCCCTATCTTTTACTCAGAATTTTTTTTAGGAAACATTGCTGTTGTTAAAGAGATAGTACTCTAAAAAATAGATTTCTGCCATTTACTTACTCTCCACTTGTTTCAGACATGTTTGAGTTTCTTTCTACTGTTGAACAATACAAAAATAAAAATCTGGAGCTAATCAAACAAATAACTTTTTATAACGGTCTGAAATGAGTACACCCAAATTTATGTTAAGGAAAAAAGTTAAATAGAAAAGAGCAAAATTGAAGAGAAACAAAAAATGTATACAATGTTGTATTTTGTATCCCCCCCTAAATTTTGCATGAATTTTAATGCAGAAGCTTACTATTTCTTAAGATGTTCAGTGACTAAAATATTATTTTATAAATATATTTGTTTAAAAAATCTCTTTTGTTCAAATGCACCAAAATATATGACATATATTCACTAAGAAATGGATAAAAATGATCATTTTGGGTGTGCTTAATAATGTTGAGCACTGTATATACAGTACATACAGACATTTTGAAGAATGCTGGAAGCTGGTGTCTATTGACTTTTATTGTCTTTTCTTCAATTAAAGTCAATGGCATCTGCTTTTTATGTTCTTCAAAAAAAAATATCATCTTTTCTGCTCAACAGAAATGTAAAACTCAAAAGTTTGGAACCACTTGAGAGTGAGTAAATTAATAAATATTCCTGTTTGGTTATACAATCTCTTTAAATTCTTTAATTCCTTTAATCATCATGTTAAATAACCTTAAACGCACATAAAATCAAAACTTTCCCACTTTTCACTAACTAGAAAGGCAAATGACGACCTAACTGGCTGTTAATACCTAACTTGGTCACAAATCTCCATCATGCATGTTTGTATAAAAATTGCATTTTAATATCCAAACAGAAGTAATTTATTTTTAAGTGTCTTATACAACTGTCAGGAGTTCTAATGTTATACTATCTATTCACAAATTATATTTGGTCATGCTTTACTTTAGACAGACAAGTATAGACAGAAAAATATGTATCTAAAGTGCTCTTATTATGCTATTTAAAAGTCTCCTGCAGTGGGTCTACATCCATCCAGTGTTATAACACTTTCATTTGCTCCTAGTATACACTGCAGCATCAGCTCTATAAGTGTCTGAAATGGTTCTTTCAAATATTTACTCTCTCTAAACCCCACCTTTCTGTGAGGCTTTCCTTTTCTGATGGGTTAAATGGCCAAATCTGTTGTGATTGGTCTACTGCTTACAGCAGGCGTGTCCAAACTCAGTCCTGGAGAGCCAGGGGCTGCATCCGAAACCGCCTACTACTCAGTAGGTACTGCATTTGAATTTAAACGTACTACTCGGCCGTTAGAAAAGTACGGTCTATACAGTATGAATGTGGAAAGTTTGAATGGAATTTGGAGGTACTACATTCGCCATTTTGTCATGATCACGTGACCTATCTGCGTTTGTTGCATCACTTCACTCCCATTCATGAATTCTCTTGCTGGGCATCATGGGATAGCGCAGCGTGCATGGGATACCACTTCAGAATCTCGCTGGAAGTAGTAAGTCATCCGAGTACTTCCCGCATACTGATTCTCAAATTCTATGAATTCGGATATACTACTCAGCTCGCATTCTGATATTAGTGTACTGTATAGTATGGAAGTATGCGGTTTCGGACACAGCCAGGCTGCTTCTCAATTCCTAGAACCCAGAGAACGAACTTGCGTTCTTGTAAAGACTGGTCTTGCCAGGTCACCTTGGGAAAAGGAAGTTGGGGGACCGCAAGAACAGAGAAGGCTTACTGTGAAAAATTAGATGCTGCGTTCTTCTTGATGATCACGTGACCATCACGCATTTTTAAAACAGATTTTAATACCAATTCCAGCAAATAAACACCTTAAAGTATATATGCCTTTATTAAGATTTTCATGGTAACGTATACGTTTACGGTCTCATTTAGGGAAACTCCTGAGATAAATAAGTTACATCTCTGAACTTTATTAATAAACATTTATAAAAAGCTGCTTATTCCACCTCCTTTATTTAGACTTTTGGGACTTCTAGAGCAAGTTCGGTGCTCAAGTCTGCATTGATGTATCTTCAATTTCACGAACAGATCTGAGAACTTTCTTGCATCCTTCGTTCTTGCGGTCTTGAATTTTACAACTGAACTTTGGTGGTTGATGATAACATTACACAAGGATGCAAGATCGCTAAAGAACACCTACTGAGAAACAGCCTGGTGTCCTGTGGAGTTTGCTCCAATCCTAAGATACTAGATATACTAGAAACTTCCTGGCAGGTGTGTTAAAGCAAGTTGGAGTTGAATTCAGCAGGGCACTGGCCCTCCGGGGGCGAGTTTGGACACCATTGGCTTACAGCATGCAGTATGTCGAAAACCGAATGCTTATTACTATATATCTGAAATAGTGCTCTGGATTTTCCTCTGCACTAGTGATATGACAGTGATATGAACAGTAAGGAAGGCGTTGGTTTTTACTGTCATGAGCCCTCATCCAACAAGACACTCAAATGTTTCCCAAACATGACATAAGCTTAAATCTTTTAGGCCCCTGTACAGCTGCATTATGCAGATTTATTACTACACCGATATAGGTTTTAAAATTAAAAAGTAGAGCAAGAATTACTGAGGACTTGTTACATGCAATCGGCTTTTTCGTTCTGGGATCATTTTTAATCTTTGATCTATTGCCATTTACATTCACAAAGAGCTTAACGTAAAAGGACCATCTTATTTGTGTCTTTGACATTTTAAGCAATATTTAGTCTCATTTTCAAGAGTAGCAATCTGGCTTGCAGTTTTTTGCACTAGAGTTATATCCAGAGAACTGAATTTCAAAGAATATCATTGGTTTATATGCCAATAAACCAACACATCGAGTACACGTTGTGATTGTGAAGTTTTTAAGCAATGTAATATAACATCTCACTTTTGATCAAACTAAGTCCTGATGGATGAAATCTGTGTTTGGTTCACTTCAGGGGAGTTTGCAGGATTTCATCTGAGAGCACTGAATATGCTCATGTTAAAGAATAAGCCGTGAGAGAAGATGCTATTTTCTGTTTTGGTTTTCAGGAGGAGCTGATGGAGTCCAGCAGCGATGAGGAGTCCTCTTCTGAAGATGAAAAGTCTCATGGCTCTGTCATCGACATGGAGGACCTCGGAAATGTTATGAATCACATGAAGAAAGCCAAGGTAAAAAAACAAATCTAGCTTCACTTTGTGTACTTGCAGTCTATTCTCTTTCAGAAGCGGTTCACTTGGGTTTTAAAAAACACATGCATCAATTTCATTCTGTGGAACATATAGTAGCATGATTCAAGGTCTTTTCCTTACTACAGATGTTAATTGTCATCCAGTGCCAAGTACATTAGCTTTGGCAGAAGATCAGATAAAAAAAAAAAAAAATAATCTTGTCATAAAACTTTACAAAACCCTTTAAGAATTTATCCCTCTATTAACAGTCCCTGTTCATAGAAAACTTAAAAATGCATTATAAAACAAATACATCACACACATGCATCAAAAATGCTGAACAGGAGCTCAACTCAGTAGGAACAAAACTTATTGGTACTCACACATTACCTAAGGCAAGGCAAACTTTATTTATAGAGCACAATTTCACACAACTGTATAGCTGGTCCAAAGTGCTTTACAATAAAATAAGATATTTAATAACAATAAAAAAACTTATAGAATTACTATAAAATATAAGAAAAGGAAATAAATATGTAGTACTAAAATACAAATAAGAAAGAACATGAATGCGTCACTCAAAGGCAAGAGAGTAAAAATAAGTCTTTAAGTTAGATTTAACAGGATCCAATAATGAAGAAATCCTGACATTCTAAGGTAGACTGTTCCAGAGCCCTGGGGCTGCAACACAGAAAGCTCGATCACTTTTTGATTTGCAGCGAGATTAAGGGTCAGACAAAAGAAAGTGATCATGGGACCTTAATCATCTACTAGCTGTATAAGGCCTAAAAAATTAACTAATATAGACCGGGGCAGAATTGTGCAATGCTTTATATGTTAAATAAATAAAGGATTTTAAAAACAACTCTGAATTTTATAAGAAGCCAATGCTGTGAGGCAAGAACAGGGGAGATATGATCTCTTTTCTTAGTTCCTGTTATTAATCTGGCGGCTGCATTCTGTATTAATTGTAACTGAGAGAGAACTTTTTGCCACTAATTTGAGTTGAAAAAAGCTGCTCTTCACAACTGCATTTACATGCTTGTAAAACTGCAAAAGTGGATCAAGAATAACTCAAAGATTCTTGGAGTGATTGTGCAGATTGTTGTTTAGGAATCCTAGCTAAGTTTTAATTGAATCGTGTGTAGCAGCAGAACCTAATAAGAGCACTTCAATTTTATTTACATTTAGTTGCATAGACTTCTTGGTCATCCAGGTCTTAATGTCGGTTAGACATAAGAAAAGGTGTTGTAATGATAAATCTTTTCCCAGTTTGATAGGAAAATATAATTGGAGATCATCGGTATAGCAGTGATAGTTTATGTTATGTTTGCGGAGTATTGAGTTTAAAGGGAGCATATAAAGAGAAAATAATAAAGGGCCAGGAGTAGATCTATCTGGAACACTCCAATGAATGGGTTTAGGTGATGAAGTAAAAGATTTAATATTTACAGAAAAAGATCTTCCCTTTAGATATGAGGAGAACCACTGTAAGGCAAGGCCCTGAACCCCAACAATACTCTCAAGTCGTTTCAATAAAATGTTGTGATCTACGGTATCGAAAGCAGCACTTGGGTCTAAAAGTATCAAAATTGCAGATGACTCAGAACCTAAAAGCAGATGATCTTCTGTTTATCGTATTTGATGTTATATGATAAACATAAATGTTCCCAGCTTTTCTTGTGATTCATTTTGTTTGTGCTACCCATCTGAAAACACCTAAAATACTTAGTTAAAATTAAGCTGGTTCACTTTTAAAAATTACTTTGCATTTTTTAACAAGCCATTAATTAATTAATATTAGTATTTACTGCGCAATCTGGAGCTAATCCAACAAAATAAAATATGATAACTGTCAAAGAATTAGTACATCCAAATTGATATTTTAAGTTAAATAAAAAAAGGAAAAATCAAGAAAAAATCTTTTTTTTTTTTGCAATATTTTATTTGAAGTATTCTTTCTATTCCTAAAAATGTTCTGTGACCAAACTGTTATTTTAATGAAGATAACTGTTTAATAAATCTGTTTTGATCAAATACACTAAAATAGATGACCTACACTTACTGGCCACTTTATTAGGTACACCTGTTCAGTTGCTCATTAACGCAAATTTCTAATCAGCCAATCATATGGCTGCAGTTTAATGCATTTAGGCATGTAGACATGGTCAATACGATCTGCAGTTCAAGATGAGCATCAGAATGGGGTAGAAAGGTGAGTTAAGTGACTTTAAACGTGGCATGATTGTTGATGCCAGCCAGGATGGTATGAGTATTTCATAAACTGCTGATCTACTGGGATTTCCACGCACAACCATCTCTAGGGTTTATTGAGAATGGTCGGAAAAAGAGGAATTATCTAGTGAGCGGCAGTTCTGTGGGTGCAAGTGCCTTGTTGATGCCAGAGGGCAGAGGAGAATAGCTAGACTTGTTCGAGTTCATAGAAAGGTGACAGTAACTCAAATAACCACTCCTTACATGCCGAAGAGCTTCTCTAAATGCACAATACGTTCAACCTCGTTGGAGATGGGCTACAGCAGCAGAAGACCACACCGGCTGCCACTCCTGTCAGCTAAAAGCAAGTAACTAAGGCTACAATTTGCACAGGCTCACCAAAAATGGACAATAAAAGATTGGAAAAACGTTGCCTGGTCTAATGAGTCTTCTGCTGCAACATTCTTATAGTAGGGTTAGAATTTGTAACGGTGTGGGGGATATTTTCTTGGCACACTTTGCGCTCATTAGTACCAAATGAGCATTGTGTCAACTTCACAGCCTACCTGAGCATTGTTGCTGACCATGTCTATTGATTTGTGACACAGTTTACCCTTCTTATAATGGCTTCTTCCAGCAGGATAACGTGCCATGTCATAAAACGTGAATCATCTCAGACTAGTTTGTTGAACATGACAATGAGTTCACTGTACTCAAATGCCCTAAACAGTCACCAGATCGTCAATCCAATGAAGCACCTTTATGATGTGGTAGAACATGAGATTCTCATCATGGATGTGTAGCCGTCTGCAGCAAGTGCATGATGCTATACATGTCAATATGAACCAAAATCTCTGAGGAATATTTCCATATTATTCCAACAATATTACCGTGTTGAATTTATGCAACAAAGCATTAAGTCGGGTCTGTAGCCAAAAGAGGGTCCAACCCGGTACTAGTAAGGTGTACCTAATAAAGTGGTCGGTGCGTGTATATTCAATGAGAAATGGATAAAATTATTCATTGTTAATATGGAGTGTACTTCTTTATGCTGAGCATTTTATATAAGATTGAGTTTTTATCATTGCATCTCTGGGTCCTGTTGATGCTTAATAAGCTTCAATAAAATTTTCTGAGCAATTTATGATATTTAAAGAGCTTAATCCACATTGACAATATAAACTTTTGGTGAATCTTAGGTTTTGTATAAATGTTTTATTTGTTATTCCGAAAACTTAGTCTTAAAGGTTAGAGTGACATGAGGGTGGACCACAGACCACTTTTATGGCAATTTTTGGGCAAGAGTGGTCTCTGAGCTGTCTTTGTATGGCAAAAGTTGCGGGGAAAAAATTCTACCATTGTTTGACAAATAGAAAAAAGACAGAATGGATTTGGAGCAGCGTAATAGTGAGTAAATAATGACTGAGTTGAGTGAACTATTGCTTTAAGACGACAGAGTGCTGGTGAGATACCGGCAGTGGCTCCATTGAAGAAGACTGAGTGGCAGATGGTTTGCTACAGCAGACAGCAGCTCCGGCAGGCGCTGCGAGGACTTGCGTAACCGTGAACTGTGATCACTGACGCCCACTCCACAGGCCTGTGCGCAGGAGTGATTCATGAGACACAAGCAGACAAATCTTCCTATGCACACGCAAACGCACTCCCTCGCATCCTATCCACAACCCCATTTCATCCAGTAAAGAGCCCTTTATGGATGCTTTTAAGATTGGGTGAGTCAGTTGATTGGGATGTTTTGATCAGACGATATCCCTGGAGATATGAATTAAATGAAAGATAATTACAGGACAGAGAGCAAATTGGGCTATAAAAAACAGAATGGATTTAATAGCATTATTGATTTATTTAAAAGGGCTATCAGTTCTTTGCATTAATGTAGTGCAAGGAGACCACAAGGAAATGCAGGCGTATGAAAACACATTTTGCAAAGTTGAACTACTTTTTTTTACAGAGTTGAGCTTTTAATGCTCAGTCACACCTACACTACCAGACAAAAGTCTTGTCAATGACTCCAATAACTTATTAATAAAGTCATCTGCAGGACTCCCAGAGTTCATCAAGGTTCTTTGGATTCATTTTCAATGCCTCCAACTTACCCCAGGCATGCTCAATAATGTCCATGTCTGGTGACTGGGCTGGCCAATCCTGGAGCACCTTGAGCTTCTTTGCTTTCAGGAACTTTGATGTGGTGAATGAAGTATGAGAAAGAGTGCTACCCTGCTAAAGAATTTGCCCTCTCCTGTGGTTTGTAATGTAACGGGCAGCACAAGTGTCTTGATAACTTGGTCTGTTGCCATCCCCTCTGCAGATATCTCACAAGTCCCCATACTGAATGTAACCCCAAACCATGATTTTTTTCTTCACCAAACTTGACCGATAGCTGTGAGAATCTTGGGTCCATGTGGGTTCCAATAGGTCTTCTGCAGTATTTGTGATGTTAGAGATGCATTTCTACAAATGATTCATCATGAAATGTTTGTATTTGGTGTTCAAAAGAATTTTTATCTATACCTACTGGTTATGTAAGGGATAAAGTACATCTAGGCGGTTGTGTTCGGAGAATAAAGCCTGACAGGCTTATTGGCAGCCCAACACCAAGTAGAGGGATGTTGTATAAGATCGAAGGGCTTTATTCAGCAAAACGACCTTTTAATCCTGCTTATTACATTGATACTGGCCACAAAGCATAAACATTCTAAACAAAAACATTGTTCGGAGCCATAATAGTTGATTAATTCTTTAATGCCCTTAAAACTTGAGCAATGATT